ATGAGGGGGCAGAATGAAGTAGGTGAAATACCAGCACCACTGGTAACATCCGAAAATCGTAGACTGGGCAGCAACTCCCATGGAGCGCTTGGCAACTTCGACGTGCACGTCCGTGGCCAACTGGAGAAGTTGCAATATAAATTACTTCCCATATAAATCACATTCGCTACAATTTAGCTACTCAAATTTCACGATAGGCTGTGATTTTGCCTTTTTCATACTTGGATATTGGTTCTTAGCGTCCCATTTTTCATTTAATGTAAAAAAAATATATGAAATTAAAAATTTAATTACAAATGTGTCGCCACACCGCCCAGCTTAATCGAAAACTAAAAATCTTTCAGCTTAACCTATTCACCTAACATATCTTGAACCAAAAAAATTGCACAGAAATTAGCGAAAGAAGACTTAGGAATGGCGTCGGAATGGAGGAGGACTCTCTGTTGAGCTCCGAGACGAAGACAGAAGTTACTGAGGTGGAGAATCTTAAGAATGTCCCTGACAACCTTGCAGATAAACCTCCACTCTACTTCGCCTAGAGTGAAGCTGATGTGGCCCTCATCCAGGAACCCTGTCTCCTTGGAGATAGGATTCTTGGGTTGGGGGCGTCGGAGTATAGGCTCCGCAAAGCCGATACAACAGGTATAAGGCGAGCCTGCATCCTCGCAAAAATGAACCTTAACCACCCAATTTCAGTAATGAAGACCTTGAAGCCGCAGCCATAGAGAGCCGTGGTGACAGCCCTGGTGAAAGACAGCAGGAAGCATAAGATCGACCTGATCATAGGTTGCGATGCCAACGCCCATCATCAGTGGGGAAGCACTGAGACGAACGAGAAGGGCAAGTCAAACTTCGATTTTATCCTAGGCTCCAATCTTTTGTAGGTAATAGTGGTTCAGAACCCACCTTCATAGTCAAGAACAGAAAGGAAGTACTTGACATTACTCTTTACTCTGACTTTCTAGCTGACAGGAAGGGCCGATCCAAGGAGACGGCACTCCACGAGATCACTACGTTAATCTAAAAGGCACTTAGTGAGAAAGAATACGCACTCATTGCTTTTCTAGACATGGAGGTGCGTTCCACAACATTCTGCCACGCTCGATAATCAATACGCTGACGAGACTAGGAATAGACGATCAATCTGTACGCCTTATGAAGCAGATGTTGGTAAACAGGGCTGTTGAGGCGTCATTAGGAGGAAAATCTATTCAAAGATACGTCAGAAGAGGCACACCCCTACTGTGGAACGTGGAGGTTAATAGCCTACTACGATTCCTAGAAGGTGGTGGTTGCAAGGTTTTTGCTTATGCGGATGATGTCGCAATTGCCTTCTCTGGAAAATTTCCGCAGACTCTATGCGATCGCATGACGAACAAACTTAAGGTTCTCTCAACATGGGCAGTTAGGAATGGACTAGGTGTAAACCCATCCAAAACCAAGTTTGTCCTCTTCACTACGAAGTACAAAATACCAAATTTAAGGCTTCCAAAACTATCAGGAAAAACACCAAGTTGGACCTACACCACTTCACGCCTAAGGGGCGAGACACATCCTACCTTAAAATATAAGGAATCTATTCCAACGAGGGAGGAATAGGCCACACAAATCCCGGGACCAGCCGGTTCCCTTCATATTTACACAGACGGTTGAAAATTAAATGGCCAGGTGGGAGCCGGTTTCCATTGCGAACGGCTGTGTCTAAATGAGTCCTTCAGACTCCCACTATAGTGTGTTCGAAGCAAAAGTAATAGATATCGGAGAAGCACTAAGATCCCCAGCACTTACTGGCAATCAAGACACAATCTGTATCTTCTCAGACAGTCAAGCGGCACTCAAAGCCCTTGACGGATTTTCATCTAACACCAGGACAGTGAATGACTGTCGCAGATCTCTTAACAAGATGTCAGAACAGTATGGATACCCGGACATAGGGACCACGAGAGAAATTGCGCCGCTGACGAGTTAGCAAGGGCAGGTACTACTAATCCTCCTCTCCCGGAAAAGGAACCATTAGGCATTCCCTTAGCTACGTGTAGGCTAAAATGCAGGGATCACTTTGACCGCGTAGCATTGAGGAAATGGAGAAATCTCCAAAACTGCAGGAACTCACGCATGATATGGCCTATCCGCTCTAGAAAAAGATGAATTATGCTTATCGCCCTCAATAGGCAGGGCTGTAGTCTGGCAGTCAAGGCCATCACGGGACATTGGTCAATAGGAGCACACGTGGCTAGATTAGCGGTGCCACACTATAATTACTGCAGGAGCAGGATTCGTAAATCTGGACGGGACCGCGAGCTGCCACAGGAAAGATAGCATAATCTTGGGCACATTATTAGATGGGAGGGGGGAGGTTCCCTTGTAGGACCTGCGGCTCAAGTGGATGGGGGTGTCAGTGACTGGCACCGCATCGCCGCCTCAACCTAACCTAACCTAGCGAAAGAAATAGCAAAGCAGAATATGCAAGGTAATGGTACTTGGCAAACGGCTCTTTACTCGCACATACTGATTAACACAAATATAAAGATGAAATTTATTTAAAAAAAAACATGCGTGCAATCAATATATGATGAACAAATCATGAAAATGCAAGCGAATTTATGTGAACCTATTCATTTGGTCGGCAGTGTATGTGTTTCCCAAAAATCTGAAATGACAAGAATTACTACTTATTTAATTAGATATATAATTTCCATCGCATGGAATTTAACAACTTGACCTTGGCAATCATTTACATTGGTTTTCTGCATTATTACAAAAAACCTGTCGAACGGGATGCAAGAATAAAATTTTTAATTTTTTCGCTAGGGACCTATAAAACTCCCCCGTAACCGTGGTAAAAAGCAAGATCACAAGGAAATTTCTCATGTGTTAAGGCTCCTGTGTGTTTGTTGTTCTGTTTTAGTTTATCTTAAATCTGGTATTATACCAGAAACTTGGTATAAGAAACGGAAAAATTTGTGGGTGAAATCTAAATTAAAAACAAAAAAAATTTACGTTTTTCGGCTCTAAGACTGGTGTTGTCGGATAACCGAAATGATTTATGGTAAATCACGACACTTGGGGGGCAAACTCTCTTTTCCCTTAGCACGCGTGCAAAGGGTCGGAAATTCGGCACACTGATAGTGTGAGCACTCTAAAACTTTTTTTAGGAGCTCTGTCATTTGCTCCCATTTTGCCTCATTTGACAGCCCAAACTTAAAAATTAATATGTTTCCACTGAGAAAAATTTTTTCAAAAATTGTGTTGGAACAAGTTTTCTCTATAGAAAATATGGATAGGGAAACGTAGCTTTTCATTTGTTTAAGAACTGTTGCTAGCAAAGTTTTCTATAAAATAAAATACACCATTTTAGTGCCCTTTCCAACTTTTAATTAACGGGATCCTCTTTTATTAACCCCCTTTATGGGATTTCCATTCATCCAATGGGTTGCATTCCCACGCAGCTTGAGGCAAGTATAATTTCAGCTCCTTATTTTGCTCTGACACACTGCTCAACTTGGTACAAAAGTTCAATCCGTGTTGCTTTGAAATTCAGAGTGACCAAGGAAAAAAAATCCAAAAATATCAAAAACAAACATCAATATTTCGATATTTAAGCCTAGTACTGAGTTCACGAAAATCCGCCGTCGCACGAGTGACAGCTGTCAAACTCCATATAAAAAAAAACGGTGTAAAAAAAGGAAGAAGAAGAAATTTTTGCCTCCTAGATTTTGCCTGATGACGAAAATTTTTGTTATCGAATTGAAAGGCGTTGCCGGATCAAAAAAAATAAACAGCTGATTTTGGGGATTTGAAAGAACTAATTTTATTTATTTCGATAGGTAAAACATGGAGGGAAAATAATGAAAAAAAAAAAAGCCCGAAAAATTTTCGGCGCGCGAGGATAAATTGAAATTAATTAGTGCGGTCTGGGCGAAGCCCATAATATAGGATTTGACCCGCAAGGGGCAAATAGAGTGCGATTTCTCTATCGGATTTTCGTCGTCACAGTACTAGGCTTTAGGCAAACAAATATTAAGCATAGTATTGAGTTGACGAAAATCCGCTGTTGAAATTCTGATAGCGATTTTGCACATTATTTAACTACCGAGCTAGTGTGACCAAAAAAATGAAGAAATAAGGTTATATTGAACAGCTGTTGTTTGTAAACAAAAAACAAATAAGCAAAAATGAATTCAAAACGATTGGATGTTGGTGTTTTGTTTATGTATTTCGCCGCTAAGGAGCTGATAAAGAAATAGAAAACTGGGTCAAAATCAAAATCAAAATCAATCACAAATCATTTCAATGCCATTTTATGGAATTAAAATGCCCCTTGTGGGTCAAATCCCACATTATGGGCTTCGTCTTGACCGCAGAAATTAATTTTAATTTGTCCTGGCGCGTCGAAAATTTTTCGGTCCGACTATTTTTTTGTTTGGTCAATTGACCCTCCATGTCACACCTATAAAAATAAATTCAAATATTTCTTTTAACTCCCCGAGAGCAGCTGTTTATTCTTTTTGATCCGGCAACTCGATTAAAATCGATAACAAAAATTTTCGTGAACTCAGTACCCGCAAAATCTAGAAGGCAAAAATTTCTTCTTCTTTCCTTTTTTACACCGTTTTTTTTATATGGAGTTTGACAGCTGTCACTCGTTGGACAGCGGATTTTCGTCAACTCAGTACTATGCTTTACGATATAAATATATCATTATAAGAAAAAAATATCGATATATTGATATTTTGATATATTATCAACAACCCTAACCCATAGATAGACATAAAAATTTACCCTATCTTCCACCCTACATCGATGTTTTATTCGAAAAATATCATAAATATATAAAAAAAAAATGGACCCTATCTTCCACCCTACATGGATGTTCTATTCGGAAAACATCGGTGGATACCGACCTCGTCAAATTTACATCACTAGTGTGAGAGTGTTACTTTAGTGTGACCAAAAAGAAAATGTCGGAAAATATATTTTAAAATAAAATCGGTATAGGATACTTTTGATTACGATACAAATATATCAGTTTCGGGGAAAATATCGATGTGAAGAAATATTTGATACATCTCTAATTGAAAATAAATAACATTCAGCAAGTAAATTGCTACTTCAATTTTGTTTGTGAATTTATTTCGATGAGAAAGCAACCAAGCCAAAACCAGGCAAGCGAATGGCCATTCGTTTCAATTTTACCTAAATAAAATCTTACTGCGCCGGCTTTCAAGTATTTTAATTGTAAAGCCTGGAGGTCGGATGCACAAATGAGTTGCTTTAGTGCGATGAACGCCCCGCTGCTGGGTGAAATGGAGCAGACCATTGGAATGCTGGAGCGGGGAACTATCGTGACCAAGTTGTATGGAAAGCAGAGACGACCAGATCGCCGCCACCTGATGCTCATTCGTGAGACGCAGCAGTTGCTATGGGCAACAGTAGCCGCACATTCACCCCGCTCTGATTATGAGGGCGCTATCCAGCTGCGTGAAATCCGTGAGATTCGAGTTGGAAAGCACTCAAAAGAATTTCGCCTATTCGCCGACGAGTGCCAACGTTTTGAAAGTAGCAAGTGCTTTGTGGTCCTGCACGGAAGCAACTTTAAGCTTAAAAGTTTCTCTGTAGTGGCGTTGTCGAAGGTTGAGGCCGAAAACTGGGTTCGTGGTCTTCGTTACATGGTTCGTAATACGTTGGCTGCACCCTACCCAATGCAAATCGAAAGGTGGCTGCGACGTGAGTACTACCAGATCGAAAATGTTAACTCGCACTCGACAAAATCGTCGGATCAGATTCCCACCCAGGTTACCATAAAAGACTTTAAACTGTTTTTAGCCAGCGTTAGTTGCAAAATGAGCACTAGCAAGTTTATGGACTGCTTTAGCGAAGACGTACGGCGCAAGCATGACTTAAAATTTGATGATTTCTCCCGTCTTTATCAGAAGCTACTGCAGCCCATTAACTTTATGAACATCTTATGCAACAGTACCGGTGTATTTCCGTACTCGCGGGACCAGCAGACGGTAGGACAATTAGAATTAAAAAAATTCCTGGAAAGGGAGCAGCGCGAATTCAATTCCAGCGACACCAGTGCCGCATCGATTGCTTCATTTATCCGCGACTTAGTCCAGGATGTGGAGCGAGACGTGCAGGAACCTCATCTTACAGTCGCCGAGTTCGTAGATTTTCTCTTCTCCAAACAAAATGATATATGGGATAGCCATTTCGACAAAGTTTTTATGGACATGACACTTCCGCTGTCTTCCTACTGGATCGCTTCCTCGCATAATACATACCTAACAGGCGACCAGTTTTCAAGTGAGTCTTCTTGCGAAGCATACGCCCGGGCGCTTCGCATGGGTTGTCGTTGCATTGAGCTAGACTGCTGGAACGGCCCCGATAACCTACCATATATTTTCCATGGCCACACAATGACCTCAAAAATAAAGTTCATGGACGTAATTAAAACTATAAAGGATCACGCATTTACTACCTCCGAATATCCGGTGATCCTTTCCATAGAACAAAATTGTTCTCTAGAGCAGCAGCGCAATATGGCGCAGGCGCTTATCGAGGTAAGTTAAGTTCCTTTAAATTATACCAGATTTTATTAAGCTTAGAGGACAGTTCTTACAAAGTGAACAAAGATATAATTTTTTTTAATGATAAGGACCCATTTGACTTACCAAAAAAGTTATAAGGAAAATGGAGAGAAACGTATATTACCCGAGATAATTGGCTGCATTTTAATTTTTAGGGGTAAATTAGCCATTTTGGCTCCCATTGGAACAGTTTGACATCGAATAATTTTCCAAAAACATTAACGAACTGGCGTGGGCTTAACAAAATTTTTACACAAACTTGATTTGCGCAGATACCATACGAGTTAAAGTTCAAAATTGGAAAGCTCTATCTCTTATAGTCTTCGAAATCCAAGAGTTCAAAATTTTAGCCCGTTTTTATGGGAAAAGGTATATTTATGGATATGTCTCCTCCAAAATCGGTCGATTCCGATGAAATTTGTTTTGCAGACTCTCGCCCTTAAAACAAAAAATCTGGTTGTAGCTCCAGTTCGTTGTTTTTGAAAAATTTGTTGATGCGAAAATGTTCCAATGGCTAATCCTAATCTACAAATCAAAAAGCATCGAAATCGGATAATTTTTAGAGGAGTTAAAGACTTTTATACTCTGTTTCCCTTTTTCCTATTATAAAAAATAGAAAAAATATAAAGCGGATGGTGTATTATTTGTCAATTGCAAATGTCATAAAGGCTTTTTTTTTACTGTAAAAGAATATAATCCATTATTGTTTCTTACATCCTCTAGGTTTTGGGGGATATGTTGCTCACCCAACCATGTGATCGGAACGAGCAGCACTTGCCTTCGCCGTTTCAATTGCGACACAAAATAATCCTAAAGCACAAGAAACTACCGCAGTTTGACGATATTGGAAATGGTATCACAGGGACCCTAACTCAAAGATCTTCCCTTGCCGGAGGTTTTGGTGGAGCTGGCGAGATTGATAGCGAAAATGTGCGAAAAGTGTTTAAGGAAGGCTTACTATACTTTAGGGACCCGGTCGACAAGTCATGGAATCTTTACCAGTTTGTTCTAACTCATCAGGAGTTGATTTATTCCTCTGAAATCAATGAGTTTCGCAATGGAAACTCCGAGGATGATGATTTTGGCGTTTCACTTTCCAGCACGTTAAAAAATAGTATGCAGCAGAAGCAAAAGGACACACCAGTTAACGATGAGCTACATTTTGGAGAAAATTGGTTCCACGGCAAACTAGAAGGTACGAATGTAGGGTTTCAGGGCCAAGTAAAGTTCTTCAAAAGATTTTTTTACATATGTCTGTACATACATATAATGCATATTTTGTGTCTTTCCTTTTCTTTTTAATGCAAATTAGGATCTTAATTTTTTTTTTAGGTGGAAGGAAAGAAGCTGATGACCTTTTAAAAAAATATAAGCACCTTGGAGACGGAACATTTCTAGTACGCGAGTCGGCCACATTTGTTGGGGATTATAGTCTATCTTTTTGGCGTCGAAACAGGCCGAACCACTGTCGAATAAAGCTAAAACACGAAAATGGAACTATCAAGTATTACTTAGTGGAAAATTTCGTATTTGATTCATTATATTCACTGATCGTTTACTACCGAAAGAACATGTTGCGCAGCTCGGAGTTTTCGATCATTCTAAAGGAACCGGTACCACAGCCAAAAAAGCACGAGGATCAAGAGTGGTTTCACCCTAACACAACTAAGGAGCAGGCCGAGCAGGGCCTGGGCCGCTTAGAAATAGGTTCATTTCTTGTCCGACCTTCGGTGCAAAGCGCGAATGCATTCGTGATCTCGTTCACAATCAATCGAAAAATCAAACACTGCCGAATTTTACAGGAAGGGCGTTTATATGGTATTGACACTATGAATTTTGAATCACTTGTCTCGCTCGTTCATTATTACACAAGGAATCCGCTTTACCGCAATGTGAAATTAAGTCATCCCATATCTCAGGAGAAATTGGGCCAAGTACTGACGGAAGGCGCCCAATGCGATCTTGCGGCCACCCGCAACGGCAATGGAGCCTCTAATTATATGGGCCCCAGCCTAGACGAGTATGTCACCTGTAAAGCTTTGTATAGTTACAAGGCGAACAAACCGGATGAATTATCTTTTCCGAAGCACGCCATTATAACGAACGTACAGCGGGATAATACCATGTGGTGGGTCGGAGACTACGGTGGTATGATAAAGAAGCATTTACCAGCAAACTACGTTAAGGTAAGAATGAGTATGGTATTTAGGAAAAAAATAAAACTCTGTTCTGATGTTCTGTATTTCAAAATACGCAGGTTATTGACTGTACTACGGAAGACTACAACTCTATGAATGACGAAGGCACCGATAGTCGTACTGACTCTATCGAGATCTTTGGAGCAGTGGCCTCACTCTTCGAATCAAATGAGCCAGGCATAATCTTTAAACTGCAGATACAAACGCCGACCATGCAAAACCCGTTTGTAATCGGTTTTGATGACCAGGAGACAGCCTACGAATGGATAAAAGCTATCCAAGAAGCGGCTCTTGTGGCCAGCCAATTGGCTACAGAGAGACGCAAAAAAGAACGCACATCCCGCGTAGCCAAGGAAATGTCTGACCTTATCATATATTTTCGTAGTGTCCCGTTCCGGGAACATTCATGGATATTTCAAGAGATGTCTAGCTTCTCAGAAACAAAAGCAGAAAAACAGTTCTTTCAAAATAACCAGCCGCTGTTTCTTTCTTATCACCGCCACCAGATTAGTAGAGTGTATCCGAAAGGCCAACGTTTGGATTCGTCCAATTTTAATCCCATGCCCTTTTGGAACGTTGGCTCGCAAATGATTGCGCTAAACTACCAAACGGGTGATAAATCTATGCAATTAAATCAGGCCAAATTCCGTAACAATGGTCAATGCGGTTATGTTCTGAAGCCATCGTTCATGCAATCTGACTCTTTTAGCCCGAACAATCCTCAGTGCAATGGACTTAGTGAGATCAAAGTTAGCCTTCGCCTAATAGCGGCACGACACCTATTTCGAGGAGGCAGGTCGAACAATCCGCAAATTGTAGTCGAGGTAGTAGGCGCCAGTTTCGATTCCGGCGTTAAGTACCGAACTAAAGTTAATGAGAACGGGTTTAACCCCGTGTGGAACGAAACCTGCGAATTTATTGTGCGCAACCCACACTTCGCCATTCTTCGGTTTGAGGTGCAGGATGAAGACATGTTTGCAGAAACTCACTTCATTGCGCAGGCATGCTATCCTCTCACATGTGTGCGCCAAGGATATCGCAGTGTGGTTTTGCGTAACAAGTTCAGCGAGGAGCTGGAGCTTTCTTCCTTATTGGTCCATATTATCATTGAAAGTGTCTCATCTAACTAGTTCCTAAGCTAGGTTATCTACATACTTATGTGTTTGTTTCCCATTTACTTGGGAAAACAAAAATTTTGAACGTTATTTGTTTTACACATTGCCTTTGTTTACTAAAAAGTTTTCAATTTCCAATTTTTTTTTTAAATTTCAGGCACCAAAATTTATAATTTTATCTTTAAGTAACATCAAAAGTACTAGTTATTCAATAACACACATGTGTATTTATTAATGTTAGCAATAAGGAAACTAAACGTTATTACCAAAAGAGCCAAACAAATATTGCTTAGGTCATCATTTTGGTTATATTTTGGATATTGTCTTACAATTTTAACTAAACATAGTCAACCGATTTAAATATACATTTAAAAACAATTTCTTTTATTATTATTTATAAAGATTACGAATAAAAAGGATTTTTAGGATTTTGATTTTTAAGCCTAGTACTGTGACGACGAAAATCCGCTGTCGAAAATCCGCTAGCGAAATCGCACTTTATTCAGCTACCGAGCTAGTGTGACCAAAAAAATTAAGGAAAAGGGTAATACTGAACAGCTGTTGTTTGTAAACAAAAAACAAATAAGCAAAACTGAATTCCAACCGATTGGATTTTGGTGTTTTTTTTATGTATTTCGCCGCTAAGGAGCTGATTAAGAAAAAGAAAACTGGGTAAAAATCAAAATCAAAATCAATCACAAATGCCATTTTATGGCATTAAAATGCCCCTTGCGGGTCAAATCCAATATTAATTAATTAATCATTTAATACTAATTAATTAATTTCAATTCATCCTCGCGCGCCGAAAATTTTTCGGGCCGACTATTTTTTCCTTTCATCAATTTCCCCTCCATGTTTTATCTATCGAAATAAATAAAATTTATTAAACCTATAAAGTATATATATTCTTGATCAGGATCACCTCCTGAGTTGATATAAGCATGTCCGTCTGTCTGTTTCTACGCAAACTAGTCTCTCAGCTTTAAAGCTATCGACTTGAAACTTTGCACACACCCTTCTTTCCTTTGCAGTCGGAACGGCCGGGATCGGCCAACTATATCCTATAGCTGCTATATAACTGATTGATCGGAAATGGTATAACTTTGGTGTTGTTAGAGTTAGAGCGTTAAAATTTGACACGAGAGCTATTTTTGCCAAAACATTACGACATGCCAAATTTCATAAGGCCGACTATATCCTATAGCTGCCATATAACTGAACGATCGAAAATGACCCAACTTTCGTGTTTTTGAAGATAGAAAGCTGAAACTTAGTACAGATTCTATTTTTGGTCAGTTGATCCAACCTTCCAAATTTCATTAGGATCGGCCGACTATATCCTATAGCTGGCATATAATTGAACGATCGGAAATGGTATTTGGTAGAAATATCAACTTTCGTATTTTTGAAGATAGAAGCTTGGGACTTTTTTAGATTTTTTATTGAAATTAATTGGTTTTATCAAGATGTAATCATAAGGATCGGCCAACTATATCCGATGTTTGCGATATATACCAGGTTTTAACTGCAAGGGTATATCAACTTCGGCTCCGCCCGAAGTTAGCTTTGCTTTCTTGTTTATATGGAGTTTGACAGCTGTCACTCGTGCGACAGCGGATTTTCGTCGTCACAGTACTATGCTTTAAATGTAACAAGTACACAATTTTTCATATTCGTTAAGCAACGTATAATTTAAGATGTTTAACATTTAAATCCCATTAGGTGATAATTTCAAAATATTGCGTTATTTAATATAAACAAGAAAGGACGGCTATAGTCGAGTTCCCCGACTATATTTACCCAGTACTCATCTCAACCACCCACAATTTAACTAACCTTTATAGTTTGAAGTTTAAACTTTAACGGTTGAATTCTCAAAATTTTGTTGCATACTCGGGCATACTGCGGCCATACTACCAATTCAGTGGGGGGCAGACAAAAACATCGACATCGAAACATTTTCCAAAAACATGGCGTGGGCGTGATTTGCGCAGATACCATACCAGTTCAAGTTCAAATTGGATAGCTCTATCTCTTATAATCTTCAAAATCCACGCGTTCAAAATTTTAGCCCGTTTTTATGGGAAAAGGTATATTTATGGATATGTCTCCTCCAAAATCGGTCGATTCCGATGAAATTTGTTTTGCAGACTCTCGCCCTTAAAACAAAAAATCTGGTTGTAGCTCCAGTTCGTTGTTTTTGAAAAATTTATTGATGCGAAAATGTTTCAATGGCTAATCCTCTCCTACAAATCAAAAAGCATCCAAATCGGATAATTTTTAGTGGAGTTAAAGACTTTTAAGTCTGTTTCCCTATTTCCTATTATAAAAAATAGAAAAAATAAAAAGCGGATGGTGTATTATTTGTCAATTGCGAATGTCAATAAGGATTTTTTTTACTGTAAAAGAATATTATCCATTATTGTTTCTTACATCCTCTAGGTTTTGGGGGATATGTTGCTCACCCAACCATGTGATCGGAACGAGCAGCACTTGCCTTCGCCGTTTCAATTACGACACAAAATAATCCTAAAGCACAAGAAACTACCGCAGTTTGACAATATTGGAAATGGTATTGGTGTCAAAGGGACCCTAACTCAAAGATCTTCCCTTGCAGGAGGTGTTGGTGGAGCTGGCGAGATTGATCGAGCGAAAATGTGCGAAAAGTGTTTAAGGAAGGCTTACTATACTTTGGGGACCCGGTCGACAAGTCATGGAATCTTTATCAGTTTGTGCTAACTCATCAGGAGTTGATTTATTCCTCTGAAATCAATGAGTCTCGCAATGGAAACTCCGAGGATGATGATTTTGGCATTTCACTTTCCAGCACGTTGAACAATAGTATGCAGCAGAAGCAAAAGGATACACCAGTTAACGATGAGCTACATTTTGAAGAAAATTGGTTCCACAGCAAACTAGAAGGTACATTTGTAGGGTTTCAGGGCCAAGTAAAGTTCTTCAAAAGATTTTTGGAACGAAGTTTCTTAAGGCGCGGTATGAGTTTGGTGGAGGAGGGCTAGCCTAGAAAAACCGTAACGTAACGTTAAACGGCTATCTGTCTGCTTCTTCGTAGAGTGAGAGAATATAACCATTTTTCCACTCTCTCGCTCTCCACAGTCGAGCGTTTCTCCACTGCTCATGCTCATGAAAAGAAGGTTCTCGACTTCTTCGGAGATATAGTACTACAACTTTGTATGAAATTCCCCTAATTTTGGCCGGCTTTAACATCAACTTTTCTGATAAAAAATCAGAGCCACTGATTTCTCCTTGAAGAATTTGATTTAAAAATTAATAACGACCCAATAATGTCTACAACAAGATTCAATACGACTATTGATGCAGTTTTTTCGAGATGTTTGGACAAAGTTGAATATCAAATGTTTGTATCTTACTTCAGTTATCATAAGCCAATTATCACTATATTTGAATGAACTGATTAGATTTATATAACTAGAATAAATAAGTAATAAATAAAAATTATTTTTGTATAAAGTTGTAAATTGTTGTTGTAAATCATTTTTCGTTTTCATTCACTCCTGTCTCTCCTTCATTGCCAAACATTCCAAAGGAACTTCGTTCCTCACCTCTCCTTCGTTGCCAAACATTCCAAAGGAACTTCGTTCCTCACGCGTGTCCCTAGACACACACTGGTTTTTTTTATATATGTCTGTACATACATATAATGCTTATTTTGTGTCTTTCCTTTTCTTTTTAATGCAAATTAGGTTCTTAATTTTTTTTTTAGCTGGAAGGAAAGAAGCTGATGACCTTTTAAAAAAATATAAGCACCTTGGGGGCGGAACATTGCTAGTACGCGAGTCGGCCATTTGTTGGCGATTATAGTCTATCTTTTTGGCGTCGAAACAGGCCGAACCACTGTCGAATAAAGCTAAAACACGAAAATGGAACTATCAAGTATTACTTAGTGGAAAATTTCGTATTTGATTCATTTTATTCACTGATCGTTTACTACCGAAAGGAAGAGCGTTTATATGGTATTGACACTATGAATTTTAAATCACTTGTCTCGCTCGTTCATTATTACACAAGGAATCCGCTTTACCGTAATGTGAAATTAAGTCATTCCATATCTCAGGAGAAATTGGGCCAAGTACTGACGGAAGGCGCCCAATGCGATCTTGCGGCCACCCGCAACGGCAATGGAGCCTCTAATTATATGGGCCCAGCCTAGACGAGTATGTCACCTGTAAAGCTTTGTATAGTTACAAGGCGAACAAACCGGATGAATTATCTTTTCCGAAGCACGCCATTATAACGAACGTACAGCGGGATAATACCATGTGGTGGGTCGGAGACTACGGTGGTATGATAAAGAAGCATTTACCAGCAAACTACGTTAAGGTAAGAATGAGTATGGTATTTAGGAAAAAAATAAAACTCTGTTCTGATGTTCTGTATTACAAGATACGCAGGTTATTGACTGTACTACGGAAGACTACAACTCTATGAATGACGAAGGCACCGATGGTCGTACTGACTCTATCGAGATCTGTGGAGCAGTGGCCTCACTCTTCGAATCAAATGAGCCATGCATAATCTTTAAGCTGCAGATGCAAACGCCGGCCATGCAAAACCCGTTTGTGATCGGTTTTGATAAGCAGGAGACAACCTACGAATGGATAAAAGCCAGCCAATTGGCTACAAAGAGACGCAAAAAAGAACGCACATCCCGCGTAGCCAAGGAAATGTCTGACCTTATCATATATTTCCGTAGTGTCCCGTTCCGGGAACATTCATGGATATTTCAAGAGATCCAGCTTCTCAGAAAAAAAAAACAGAAAAACAGTTCTTTCATAATAACCAGCCGCTGTTTCTTTCTTATCACCGCCACCAGATTAGTAGAGTGTATCCCAAAGGCCAATGGATTTGTCCATTTTAATCCCATGCCCTTTTGGAACGTTGGCTCGCAAATGATTGCGCTAAACTACCAAACGGGTGATAAAGCTATGCAATTAAATCAGGCTAAATTCCTTAACAACGGTCTGAAGTCATCGTTCATGCAATAAGACTCTTTTAGCCCGAACAATCCTCAGTGCAATGGTCTGGTGAGATGGTGGATGATGGATCTCAATGATGAGATCAAAGCTAGCCTTCGCCTAATAGCAGCACGACACCTATTTTGAGGAGGCAGGTCGAACAACCCGCAAATTGTAGTCGCCAATTTCGACTCCGGCGTTAAGTACCGAACTAAAGTTAATGAGAACGGGTTTACCCCGTGTGGAACGAAACCTGCGAATTTATTGTGCGCAACCCACACTTCGCCATTCTTCGGTTTGAGGTGCAGGATGAAGCATGTTTGCAGAAACTCACTTCATTGCGCAGGCATGCTATCCTCTCACATGGGTGCGCCAAGGATA